AAAAAGAAAAATTGCTTAGTTTCTAGATTGTATAATTTGTATCCCCTTTAACCTCTAGGATAACAAACAAAAATGGAGGGAATTGCTCGAGAAGCAAATTTGTTTCTAGAAGAAGGCAATGTTGCTGCATATGCCAAACATCCAAAGGCCTTTAATGATTGATAATCTGGTTTGGATCCATATAGAATTTGGTTGGTGATTGTTGTTGCAATACAGGAGACGAAACTCTGTTGATTAGGAAAGCAGCAGTGGAAACACACTCCCCTCAAAATTGGATTAGTAACTTGGATTGAAAAAATAAAGCCCAAGCCACATTCAATAGGTGTTGATGTTTTCTCTCAACAATTGAGTTTTGTTGTGGTCTCTCCATGCAAGAAAATTGATGTAGAGTGCCTTGTCTAGCTAGAAAATCAATAATAACAAGTTATTTTGCATTATCGAACCTAAAGCACTTAATGTTGGCCCCAAACTAAGTTTTAACCATTTGGAAAAAAAAATTATAACATTAGGAGCTTCAAACTTATGTGTAAGTAAAAATATCCAAGTAAAACGACTACAATCATCAACTAAGGTTAGAAAAAAGTGTTTGCCATTTTAAGTAGGCTTACCATAAGGCCCCCAAATGTCAAGTGTAATATATCAAACAATGATTAAGACACTTTATTTAGAAAATTGAAAGAATCTTTTAAACTTAGCAAGGGGACAAACTTGGCAAGTGGAAGTAGAAAAATTTTGTGGATTATCAAAAAACATTTCATTACTCAAAAGTCGAAGGACTTTATATATATATATATATACTCAAGGTCCAATCTGAGCTAACATCAGAGTATACAAAATACATCCATCACTACCACACTAGGTAGCTAAAACAACAAATCATCAAAAGAATCAGCTCTATCTGCTAGCTGCAAACCTGCCACAAGTCACCAAGCTAACCCTGTTTTGCTCCCATACAACGTATGATCATCGCAGTCCAAACACATGGAAACAACAAAGGGTAAGCTAGTGAAAAGAATCAGCATATAAAACATATTTAAGAAATATGAACAACTACAACTATCAGCACATCATCAGCATACATTTCATCAACTATATAGCATAAACAACAATAAGCACATAATGCATCGTCACGCATATCAGCTTGGAGATCTCCTACAACAGCTCAGCCTTACAGCCTACAACAACTCAGTCTTAAGGCCTACAAAGCTTTATTTCCGACCCGGGCAATTTTAGGGGTCTACAGTGCCAAAGGACAATGGGTTGATGAGCTCCCCAGCATTCTTTGGGCGTATCATTGCACCCCTCAGTCAACAACGCAAGAAATGCCTTACAGGCTGACCTACGGAGCCGATGCCATGATCCCAGTCGAGGTCGGCTTGACGTCTCATCAGCGTCATACCTTTGACAGCGAACAAAACGCTCAAGAAATGACAGTCAACCTTGACCTGATTGACGAGCTCAGAGAGGAGGCTCGAATTCACGAAGAAGCTTGCAAACTTCGAGCCTCCAGAAGATACAATAGACGAGTTTGACCTCGCTCTTTCCGGGTAGGCGACCTGGTATGGCGACTACAAGGTGAAGCACGAAGAGACCCATTAGAAGGAAAACTCGCACCTAACTAGGATGGCCCATTTCGAGTTGCGGAAGACATAGAAAATGGGGCATACCGACTAGAAGAGCTCAGCAGCAAGACCATCCCGCGAACTTGGAATGCCACTCATCTCAAGTTTTACTTCAGCTGAAATGTATCAATGGATTGTGCACTCATTTCCCTACTCAGTCTTTTGTCCCAAAAAATAGAAAAATAGGTTTTGGTTGAGAGAGTTTTTAACGAGGCACACCCACAGCATTAATAAAAAATACTCATTCCACACATATCCTCTCAATTTTATACTGCATGAGCACAAATTATATTGTGTTAAGCCAAGGTCAAATTCGAACCTTGGCACGAATTATATTGCGACAAGCCAAGGTCGAATTCGAACCTTGGCACGAATTACATTATGTTAAGCCAATGTCGAATTTGAACCTTGGCACGAATTATATTGCGACAAGTCAAGGTCGAATTCGAACCTTGACACGAATTATATTATGTTAACCCAAGGTCGAATTCGAACCTTGGCACGGATTATATTGTTCTAAGCCAAGGTCGAATTCGAACCTTGGTACGATCTATTCTAAGCCAAGGTCGAATTCGACCTTGGCTTAACATAATGTAATTCGAATTCGAATTACATTATGTTATTCCCTTTCTATTTGTATAAAATTTTAATTTTATACTTCTGTGAAATTTTAATTTTTATGAAATTTCAATTTAATTACATGTATATTATAATTATTTTTATTTTTATTTTTTTTTTGTTATTTTTTAAAAAAATTTATAAAAAATTATTTAAAATGTGGCACTATAGGCTATAGCGATTTCATTGAAGCCGTTTTGTGTCGTCATGGGTTGTAACGACATTGTTAATATGGCTTTCATGGCTTCTTTGGAGTTAAAAAATTTCACGTGTCAATGGTGTCGCTATGGATCATAGCGACACTATAGTAAAATACCTCAAAGGTGTATATAGTGGCCTTAAGACTGAGTTGTTGTAGGCTGTAAGGCTGAGCTGTTGTAGGAGATCTCCAAGCTGATATGCGTGACGATGCATTATGTGCTTATTGTTGTTTATGCTATATAGTTGATGAAATGTATGCTGATGATGTGCTGATAGTTGTAGTTGTTCATATTTCTTAAATATGTTTTATATGCTGATTCTTTTCACTAGCTTACCCTTTGTTGTTTCCATGTGTTTGGACTGCGATGATCATACGTTGTATGGGAGCAAAACAGGGTTAGCTTGGTGACTTGTGGCAGGTTTGCAGCTAGCAGATAGAGCTGATTCTTTTGATGATTTGTTGTTTTAGCTACCTAGTGTGGTAGTGATGCCACATCCAAAAATACAAAGAATGCCAGCAGCTTGGCAACGCACACCGACAACCGCCCGAAACTCTCCACCACATGATGCCGGTGTGGCCTTTCTCCCAATAGGGAATGGATATCCTCGGACCATTCCCCCCTGCGAAAGACCAACTAAAGTTCCTCCTGGTAGCAATCGACTACTTCACCAAGTGGATCGAGGCATGTCCACTCGCCAAAATCACCACTGAGAACGTGCGGAAGTTCACCTGGAAGAATATCATCTGCAGGTTCAGAATCCCTCACGCCCTCGTTACCGACAATGGTCGACAGTTCATCGCACAGGAATTCAAAGACTTCCTCCGCGATCTCGGAATTAAACACCTTTCGACCTCGATGGAACACCCCCAGACCAATGACCAGGCCGAAGCCGCCAACGAGGCCATCCTCCGAGAACTCAACAAGCGACTAAGAAACGCCAAAGGGAAGTGGCCCGATGAGCTCCCCAGCATCCTATGGGTGTATCATTGCACCCCCCCGGTCAAGCACACAAGGGATGCCTTACAGGATGACCTACGGAGCTGACGTAATGATCCAAGTAGAAGTAGGCGAAAAATCCCACAGACGCCAAGTCTTCAACAGCGAGCAGAATGCCCAAGAACTGGCGGCTGACCTCGACCTAGTGGACGAGATTAGAATCGAAGCCCAAATCAACGAAGAAGCCTCCAAGCTCCGAGCTTCCAGAAGATACAACACCCGAGTAAAACCTCGGTCATTCCGAGTCGGTGACTTGGTATGGCGATTACTAGGCGAAGCAAGAAAGGACACAACAGATGGGAAACTCGCACCTACTTGGGGCGGTGCACTCTTTTCCCTCCGCAGTCTTTTGTCCCACAAAAAAAAAACAAAAAGATGGGTTTGGACTGAGAGGGTTTTTAACGAGGCACACTTACATAATCAACAAAATGACTCATTCCACTCAACTTACATCTTTTTCGCATCATTTTACGTCTAACCTCAAATGAAGGTCGAGTCCGAACCTCAGTTCATTATGGTCAAGTTTGAACCTTCACGAAAATCTAAGGTCGAGTACGTTTACTTATTTAAATTAACGTATATTATATTTTTTTAATGTATCAAATGATATATATTTATTATTATTAAATAAATAAAAATTTATATATTATTAGTATTTTAATATTACTGATAAATAAATATTAATAATATAACAAAAAAAGATTATAAGGAACCAAAATAGAGTTTTAACCTAAATAGTTTTGAAAAGTGCCCTAAATTGGTCAAACAACCCAAAAGGAATCCTTAGACCCCATGAGTCCCTCAACACAAACAACTCAACTTAATCATCACAAAACCACTATGAATAATATAACATTATCACAACTTATTGTAGTATAAATAATATTTTGAAAAAAAATAACTAGTTAAAAGTAATTAAATAATTTTAAAATAATTTTTTAATTAAAATCTAATGAAAATAATAAATTTAAATTAATTAAATAATTTTAAAGTATATAAATTTATTCGAATATAATATAAAATGTTTTATATCTGAATAGAAGTTTCTTAGTTGAATAAAAGTTTCGTAGTCGAATAAAAATTAAATTCGTAAGCGTTAAAATGTATTCGAAAAACAATTTTGTTTATTTGAATAACATTTTTTTCGACAGTTTTAAACTTCTAATATTTGTTTATAAAATTAATTTTTTAAAAAAACTTTAAAAATAAAAAAATTAATTAACATAAACTTTCAATAAATAAAAAAACCACCAATGTTATCAACATAGCTCTCTCAAAACCTTTACATGTATATAAATGTGAAAATCAAGAGATGTGAGATCCACCTTTTTAATTTCTCACATCAACGAAATTATTTCTTCACTCTCCCTATTTCTTTAATAACAAACAGAACTTATTAATACAAATGCATAATATCCAGATAAATCCCAACACTAATGAAAGAAAAACACTAACAAAATTAAACCTAATTAAAAAAAAAAAAAAAAAAAAAAAAACTATACTTAAAGTTTCTCCATCATATTTTATGAACTCGAAACCCGGAGGCTTTGCACCAAGAGTTATATATATATGGCATTTGCTATTAGGGAAAAGGAACATAACAAGTATGGAGAAGAATGGGGAAAGCAACAGCAGAAGTGGTGGTTTGAGGGTCGGGTCAGGGTTGAGTCCGAACGAGTTAAAAGTTCACACTTTGGTTGATCTTGTAGATGGTGTAGAGAGAGAGAAAGAGCAAAAACATCTTAAAAATTCTCTCTCTCCAAGGCAGATGAAGTCCTTAGTTGCTCTCTGTGACACCATCGTACCTTCCATCGACAACAACCTTGTTGCCTCTCTCCACGAACCTGTTGCCAACTTCTATCGGACTTCATCTTCCATGGCTGGAACACCTCACCATGTATTTCAACCTTTCTTAAAGTTTATCTTCTTCTATTCTCTTGTTTACAATATTATATGATTTCAGTCTGCATGACTTTTTTTTTTAATTTATTTTTTCAATTTGGAGAAATTACACTCATTTTCTTGAGATCTAACATTCATCTTCTTTGTTTGTTTAATCAAATGACACAAACCTTTTTTTTTATATTTTATATTTTTATTTTTCACATACAACCCCTCTAAGATTACAAACATTACTCCATTAATTAACTCGAGATATTTTTCTTTCCTCATGATTCTTTAGAAGACAAAATAAGCATTGTCTATTATAGAAATAAAATTATAGTATTCGCCCTTAGATTGTAAAAACTCGTCCAATGTATTATTAGAATATTGGGATGTTCAAGAACCTTATCCAAAACCAATTCTATGAAAAAAGTAGAAGAAAAAAATAAAAATAAGTTTTTTTTATGAGTTAAGACTAGTTTATATTTGAGTTAAAAATAAGATTTTATAAAAATTCATAAGAGATATATAATTTTTACAAAATAAAATATGTATAATTTAATTTTAATTTTGAATTTTTTTTCATTTTTCTTTTCTATTTTATTATTCTTATAGAAATGTTTTTTGAATAAATTTACTCATACAAACCTCTACATTTTTCTCATTTCTCTTCTACACAAAGTCACACTTTTTATATGACAGGAATATCTAACCAAAGGTGATTGTTTCGTTACAAACTCTATATCTCTATATATAATATTAACAAAAAAGGTTATTTTTTTAATGGAAAACAGTTATTTTTTAACATAATCACCAAGACTGAGCTTAAAAAAAATTATTTTTCACTTTTTCAGCTGTTTTTATAAAACATAAAAGTTGTTTATGATTGATTTTTTTTTGTTTGAAAAAAATTGATTGTTCGAGAAATTAAGTGAAATTTATAAATAAACTTTTCTTTTAAAAAAAAGTAAGTTGTTTTATAAAACTGAAATTTGAAATTTATGACTATTTTTCAATAGTTCTTTTTTTTTTATTTTAAGATGATTTACTATATAAAAATTAATTTTTTTAATTAAAATATAATTAAACATCTTAAAATCACTTATTAGCAAACTAAACTAAATAAAAGCTTATTTTGATTATATTTAATTATACAATAATCAATTATTCATATAATTAATTATACTCAAAGTGTTCAGTGTTTCCTTCTTTATTTTGTATAATATTTTATAATTATAATATGCTGCATACATTTTAAATGTCAGAAAAAATTTTTAAAGAGGAGACTTAAAAAACTAAAGAGAGAATTGGTTCTCTAATTATAGTAGAGTAACTTAATTATATGATCTTTATTAACACACTAAATTGACATAAAATCATAATCCTTCAAATATTTAGTTGTTCCAAAATAATAATGTTCATAATGTATATTAGCTCACGATAAGAAACTTTTTTTTTCCTTCTAATTACTATCTCTAAGGTATGAACATATCATAAAACTCTATGCTAATGGTGATTGAAAAAAATTCGCTTATTTCGCTTTCACTTTTGACATATGGTAAGTTTTAGTCTTTGTGTAATTCGTCTTGCATCAATCGTTTCAGAAATTGTAATATGGTTTTTGACTTTTGTGTCCCGCGAGAATAATTGAAATCATTTTTATCATTTTAAAACTTTCATACAATTTTTTTTTTTATTTTTATCCATCGTGGACTTAAAGATCCGTGTATATTATTCTAACTCTCATTACTTAATTTAAGTCTAAGTCTAGTGATTCTTCTTACACATATAAATATATACCTTTAGAGTAAAATTATGCTCAAAAAAGTCTATATTAATACAAAAAAAAAATTATTCAAGGTTTAAATTGATTTTCTTTTATACAAGTTTATATTATTAATGAAAAAATATGAACTTTTTTTGTTATCATATATACTACATTTTAGCAATATCTGTGTTTTGTAGCTTGGGATATTAATAAGTGAGAAAATGAAACACCCAAGAACATGGTTGTTGCTATTGACATTATGGCTACTATCTACATGGTTTGGCACATTCATACTATGTGGCATGGCGAGTCTCTCAACAAAGTTTCCGTTCTTCCAAAGCTTCCCTGACATGTCTCTGCAAAAACGCCAAAAAGTTATGCAGTCTTGGTCACTCAGTTATTTTCGACTCCTTAGGATGTTATTCAGAACCATCAAGCTTCTCACCCTCCTTGTCTTCTTCACGCAGGTAATCAATGACCTCATTCTTATCAAACTGCAGTAAAAACAGACCTTGCAAGAATTAAGAAATAGATGCATTAATTGTCCCTTCTTCCTTTTCATTCTTTCTTTCTTTTCTTTCTTTATTTGGCATTAATTAGTGACTGCTTTTTTTCTTTCTATGACATTAATTAATATGTGTCACTTTCCTTACCTAGCTACCATTATGTTTTCGAATTGGGAATATTAATATATAAGATATATGTAAGATCTGTCGATGTTTACAATGAAGGATCTCTTTTTGTTAAAGATAATGAATATTTTTTTATAAAAATATCAACTTAATTAATTTTAGGCTTAAATATATTTTTTTTCTCAAATTTAAGATAAATTTGTTTTTGTTTCTTAAATTTAAAATTATTATTTTTAGTTCCTGTAATTTTTAAAAATCTTATTTTAGTTTCTTAAGTTATCAATAACATATTTAAAAGTGACTAATTAAGACAATTATATAATATCAATCAACCAGATTTAATGGAATATTTTTATTAATAAGGATATCAATAAGTAAATTTTATGTAATAATATTTGATAAATTTTTAACAAAATTTGAATATAAAGGCTAAAATAAAATTTTTTAATATTATATGAACTAAAAATAATAATTTTAAATTTAAAGGATAAAAATCAAATTTACATTAAATTTAAGGGATTAAAAACATATTTAAATATTAATTTTATGTCTAGAAATATAGTTGAGAGAAAGAGAGGAAAGAAAAAGATGGAAAGAAAGGAGCAAGTGGATGGAGGTTAGTTTAATTTTTTTTTTTTTTAAATGAATCTGTCATTCTTAACAGTTGGATTCAAAAAGATGAAAAATATGGCCCCTCTTTAAGTTACTATTTTGTAACTCATAATATTTTCATGTTAAATATATTTTTAATTCATTCAAATAAAATAATGTTTATGTTTTAGCCACTTAAATTTTTTTATGGTTCTCATTTTAGAAGGATAAAGCATATTTGAGTTTGGTATATATCACTGAAATTTATTCCTTATAAATAAATCATGAAAAATGTCTTATTTTTTTATTTTCATTTATGAAAATAAGAATTATGTATAACACATTTTCAAATCATTAGGTCAACCAGATGGTGAAAAGTTATACATCTTATGTTTGAAATCTGATTTTATCATATAATTCTCATGGTTAAAATGAAAATAACACATTTTTCATAAATAAATTAAGAATGGAAAAAGAGTGATTTCTTTCTTAGAGACTAAAAGAAAATATTAATATACTTAGATTAAAAACATATTTTAATTTTTTTCTTAAGTTAATGTGGAAGATATATTTTATGACAATTTCTCTTTATTTTTGTAATAAATATATCCCATAATGTTTGCCCAATTATATATTTAAAAGGATTTATTATTAACGGTAAGAGAAAATCCATTTGAAAAAAAGTTTTTCATATATATATATATATATATAGGAAACATATCAAGTGAGAGAGAATTTATTATGAGAAATAAGAGGGTTAAAATATAACTCTCAGATTAATCAAGTGAGAGAAAATTTGAAGTTTAATCAAGTGAGAGAAAATTAATCTAAGGGTTATATTTTAACTCTCTCATCTCTCATAATAAATTCTCTCTCACTTGATATGTTTCCTATATATATATATATATAGGAAACATATCAAGTGAGAGAGAATTTATTATGAGAGATGAGAGAGTTAAAATATAACCCTTAGATTAATTTTCTCTCACTTGATTAATCTGAGAGTTATATTTTAACCCTCTTATTTCTCATAATAAATTCTCTCTCACTTGATATGTTTCCTATATATATATATATATATATATATATATATTGCACCTAAAATACTGGATATCTTAGTGATATTGTGCATGCACAGTGCACATACACTCATTTCCTCGTTCGTGCGACAATAAATTAAAAATGCAAGACAGCACACACTTCTGTTCACCGACTCAACTAACTTGTGACTTTAGAGAAGTTATTCAAATAGAACGCAAATTATAGGATTTTTATTTCTAAATAGAATTGAAATATCCCAAAACAGCTTATCAATTATGTGGTTGTAAAGCACTAAAAAATTGTCATAAAGTAATACATCTTATCTGACATAATATTTATTATTAAAAATTAATTTTAATTATATTATAAATATAATATATGTTATTATATTATTAAAAATATAAATATAAATTATAATATATATATATATATATATTATTAAATCTTATTTAAAATTAACATAACTTAACAAAATTGTATGTAAATATATATTAAATAGATTTATATTTATACATATTATATTTTAATGACATTTTTTATATATCATTATATATAGTATTTTTTATAATGAAAGAAAATTAATTTGGACGGTATTTATCAATATAATACAAATCGAATTCATATTTGATAGTACAACTAAAAGCTATAAATCTATTTAACAATATTTAGTTGCAGGAAATTAATTGCAGTCCAAGCAAATTTCTTTATAACATTAAGGAGCAATCAAACATTATAATCATCAAAGAAATTATTTAATCATTACTCTTAATTTAGAATATATTTCCAAAATAATTACTCAACTAAACAAAACTTGTCTCCATTTAAAAAGTTTTCTAACTGAGAAGTTATAAAGTGGTATGTGGTGGTGTAGGAAGAAGAACATAGAACTGGTTCTTTGAAGTAATGTAACTCACTAATTATCAATATTTGTTGATTAAAAAAATCTTATTGCCACTGTTTGAGTGGGTTGGTGTATATAGATGGAAGTCAAGGGAAAATGGTCAGGATATTTATTCATATTAAAGAACATGCTAGGAGTTTCCCCCATTATGGTATTACTTGATTAGCATGTGTAAATAACCAAACATCTAAATTAAAGAATGTGCATAAGGGGTTACACTTATACGTTATAGCTAAGGGAAAGTCATTCCAATAGTACCTTAATTAATTAATTAGGTTGGAACACTATTTCCCCTCCATTGTCATTTATGTTTACTCATTCAATTTCAGATACTATACTAAAAAGTTGAGATTGTGACTCATAGCTACTTATTAATGTTTCGGTGATAAATTCAAATAGACCCTTTGAATGACGAAGTGTCTCACAATTACGGAAAAAATAAATGATGCCAGTTCAATAAAAGTAAAACATTTGGGTGGAAAGTCATTCATTTAGCTGCAAAACATTTGGGTCGATCGAAAGTCATTCATTTAGCTTCCATACTATGATAAAAGCTACATATCCCCTATGCCCCCACAATATAGCTGATAAGACAAACCCAAATGGAAATTTTAGTACTGTGCTAAACATGACCTTAGTCTTCCATCTAGTGAGGTTTGATATGTAATGAAAATATATTTACACTATATTTGTCATTCAAAACAATCGCAATGTGTCAAAGTATGGGCTTTAATTTATATTTGCTTTCTAATTCTACACAAAACTATGGAATATTGAATAGATATTTTTTCTAATAAGAAAATATGATTCATTTTCATTTAAGTTTACTATTATAGAAAGTAATATTTTTAGTCACAACTGATAGAAAAGAATGGTTCAATCCAAGAGGGGAGTGAATTGGATACAATGACACTTAAAATTTTTTCAGAGTTTAAGGATCTTTATTTAACTCAAAAACTTTTCTAATATGAATTCTCAATAAAGTTAATTGAACCTTTAACAAATGGGAATGAATCCTATATGAATTCTTGGTTAATCTTTATTGAATTTAGTCTAAGAAACAAGTAACATGCAATTGTAATGTTTCAGTTTAAACCATTATTAATCATACAAACATATCAATCAAGACCAACCATTTTTGCATTCAATTAAAGATGATTCAAGGTAAGAGATAGAGATGAGAGAAGAGTGCAAAGTGTTTTATCTTGGTTCAGTCACTCCACATGTGACCTACATTCAGTCCTCAATCATAACCTGATCAAGATTTGTTTCACTATCTCAATGAAGAAGTTTTACAAGCATACCACATATGCATACACTCCTACATTCAAGATAGACACTTTCTTGCCCCCAAGAAAGCACTTCTTGTAGAAACCCACTACAAGAATTCCTTACCACTTGAGACACCTACTCAAGATTTCTTTACACTTTACACAAAGAATTAAAGGAACGAATTCACCTAGAAGCTGAGCAAATCAGACTATGAATTCTTGAAACATCTTAATCCTTCTCTTCCAAGAATATAGTGATGATGATGATTTCTCTCAAAGCATTTCACAAGATATTTCTCTTCTTGGTTTCACAAAGAAAACACTCCAAGAAGGTCACAAAGACTTCACAAAATCAGTTTTTCTCTCTTCTATTTTCAGTTCATCTCATTTGTCTTGTTTCAAAGTGTGAAAACTATTTATAAAGTTTTCCAGACCTAGATAATCGATTATTTCTTAGGATAATCGATTATTTTGTTCTTCATGATTTCTGGAAACCACTCAAGAACAGAATAACCGATTATTTTGCTAGATAATCGATTATTCTAGAGGGTATTTCATAGAATAATCAATTATTTATCAGATAATCGATTATTACAGCAAGGTTCCCTGAGCCTCTTGCTGGAATAATAGATTATTCATAATGATAATCGATTATTTTGAGTAAGTTTTCAAAAAATCAATTTCACACTTTTAGAAAACTTTCTAAATCTTTCCAAGTCATTTAAATCATCATCATACTCATTCTTAGTCAATCGAGATTAAGATTTACTCTAGCACAAAACATACACATGCAAAAATAACTTCAACAAGGAAACACAAAACATAAGAACATGTAGGCTATCCCTATTACATTTTGTGTTCTTTCATATCTTCCTTTCTTGACTAGCTTGCCCTTTGTTCTTGGCTTGTATTGTATCCTTTGTTATCATCAAAACTTCTCAAATCTTTAGAGCTGAGCTTGATTCATCACTCATGAATCTCAACAACGACTTCATCCTTAAGTTGAAAAAAATCTTAGTCATTGATTAAAGAATATAAGTAACGAGACATTTGTGGTAATAATTTTTAGTATCAAAAAGAAAACATAATACTTAATAAGTGTCCATCATACCTTTGAAAATCAGATTAAACTAGTTAGTTGAACTAGTTTGATCGAGAATAGGTCCTAATCATTTTGCTAACAAACTAGTTAAAAATTGGTCAAAATCAATCAAAAATCAATTGAACCAATTCAATTAAATTTGTTTTTTATATTTAAAATTTAATTTGAATAACTTATTTTCAATACTTGTCATATAAATATAATTTAATCATTTATGTTAATTTTTAATTTTAATATCCTTATTTTTTTTACAATTTATATTATATTAATTTGATACCTTTATTCTAAATGTAAACTTATTATTATTATTATTAATTAATATTGTTATATTTTATTAAAATTTAAAATTAAATATTATATTATATCTTGTTTTGAATTTAAACATTATATCACATTAAATGTTGAAAAATTATACATAACATTTTATTAGAAATTTTAGTCTTATAAAATTATATATAATATTATATTTATTTAATATTATATTTATAATTAATAATTATTATTATTATTTTATTAATATCAGTTTTATCACGATTCAATCATAGTTAAATCATTGAAATAAACAACACCCTAGAGTCCACCATGCAGATGAGAGTAGAGCAGCCACTTTCCCGAACAAGATCATGAGAAGAGTTGAGATTGCTTAGGGATTTCGACAATGTCATGCATACATTTAGAATTGAACTAACACAATCATACAAACGCAGTTCTGATTTTAAAATAGCAAATTGTTCAAGGGAGAATTCTATTTGCACCCTTTCTTTTCTCATTGCACTGCCCTGCTTTTGTTTTTAAACATTTCGAAATTACTTTTCAAAATATAAAAATACATTTTCAAAAATTACTTAAGTACGAAGAGGAAAATAGAGTGCGAATAGAATGGATCTTATTGATGCTGCCTCACCTAAATACAAATTGGGTTCTTATAAGGGATCCACGTTAAAGAAATGAATGTGCTTTTCTTAAGGAAGTATGTTAAGGTCCAAGCAATAGCAAGTGCTCCTCTAGTCTTGCTATATAAAGCTGCTACTATTGAGTGGTCAGTAAGAAAAAATATGCTTAACCAGTAATACTACTCTCGCAAACCATTGGAAGAGCTTATGTGTATCTACACAAGTTATTTTACTCAATAATTTTATGAGAAAATTGTTCAAATATCTTTTGAGGTCTTTTTAGATGACACATATTTTCTCTCTAGTATTTAAGTGAAAACTAATATTTCTTATTTATTTATCTAAGTAACACATATAATCTCTTATAACATCATTTGTGCAATATTAAGAGAGAACAAATTATTAATGTAAGTACTAATAATTGAATGAAATTTGATCTCTTACTTAATTTTAACTCCCAAATTATATCTTAAATATTATATGAGTTGTTATTTAAATAATTTTATTCTGTTATCTATTATAAGAAAAAAAATATATACATTTTTTGTTCTTAAATATGAGCAAATCTAATTATTTTTGTCTTATTTAATAATATTTTCTATAAAATATAATGACTTTTCAGTTCTACTATTTCTATTAACATTTATAATAAGGACAATTGAAGAAAAATCTTATAAAAGTAGTAAAATTTAATACAAGTAACTAAATTTTTAATATGTAAAATCAATTTTTTTTTTACTTATAATAAAGAACATAGGGAGTATATTAACTTCAAGGAACAATTTCAAAGAATGTAATGAGAACTTATTATTTTTTAAATTAAAGAATAATGAAATTTTTTAAAAAGAAGACAAAACATTATATGTAATTCAAAAATGAATGATAACTACATATATGATTGGCAAAATATGAATTATTTTTTTTTTCTTTCTCTCACTTTAACTAATAAGGAAGGTAGATGATTTTTGAAAACTAGAAGAGAAGTGTGTCATTTATAAAGAAACGATGAAAATGAATGCAATTTTCTCTAACTTTATATTGAATTTCATTAATAGAACCTTTAACGAGATCGAATTTATAATTTTTTTTGTATACTTCATTAATCAACTTTATTTCAACATATTGTATACTTCTCAACATATAATTAAATGTCAGGTAGAAAATTACAAAACAATGAATCTTCCATTCATCTAAAATTTCACGCATATGATCATCAAGATTCAAGGGTTGGATTTATGAAATTTTTTATTTTTGAAGAAATATTAAGTATTTAAGATTATTCGTGTACAACATATGAACCATAACTATTTCATTTTCAGCTAGATGAAGCAGAAGATAATCCATCATGGGAGGCAATTGGATATTGTGGACCTGATCCAGAGTTCAAAGCACAGTTGAAGAATCACTTTTTTCATGGAACATCAAATGAAGGAGGACAAGAGGAAAAAGAAGTAGAAGAAGTTAGAGGACCACTTTACAAAGGTCTTGTGCATATAAATAACCCAAGAGACATCATTGCAGATTCTCTAAGACAATTTGGATTCTCTGTCTCTACCACTCCTATAAAGGCCAAGGCTTCTAACATGTCATCTCCATCATTAGTTATCCAATGTGATGCAGTGGTTGTTGGTTCTGGCTCTGGAGGTGGGGTTGTAGCTGGAGTTCTAGCAAATGCTGGTTATAAAGTTTTGGTCTTGGAGAAAGGAAGCTATTATGCTAGGAATAATCTTTCCCTTCTTGAAGGACCTAGCATGGATCAAATGTACCTCTCACGTGGTTTGGTTGCAACAGATGACATGTCTGTGCTGATACTAGCAGGATCCACAGTTGGTGGGGGGTCTGCAATCAATTGGTCAGCCAGCATTAAAACCCCTCAACATGTATGCAAGGAGTGGTGTGAACGCTATGAGCTAGAACTGTTTGAAAGTATGTTGTACAGAGAAGCCTTGGATGCTGTTTGTGACAAAATGGGTGTTCAATCTGAGATTGAAGAGGAAGGGTTCAATAATGCAGTCTTGAGAAAAGGGTGTGTGGAAATGGGGTATCCAGTGAGTAACATTCCCAGGAATGCTTCATCGGATCACTACTGTGGCTGGTGTTGCATGGGGTGCAAGGATGGAAGGAAGAAAGGTACATCAGAGACATGGCTAGTGGACTTGGTGAAATCAGGTAATGGAGCAATCATTCCAAGTTGTGAGGCTATACAAGTCTTGCACAAGAAAAAGAAAGGAAGAGACAGAAGAATAGCATGTGGAGTGGCCTTTGCAATTGAACAAAAGGGAAGCAAAGACATTTGTGTAGTGGAGTCCAAGGTCACAATTGTAGCCTGTGGAGCACTTAGTACTCCAGCATTACTCAAAAGAAGTGGCTTGAAGAATGAAAACATAGGAAGACACTTGCATCTTCATCCAGTGGCAATGGCTTGGGGCTACTTTCCTGATTCACCTTCACCTGAGGTGTGGCCAGAGAAACATAAGAAAAGCTATGAAGGGGGGATTATGACAGCAATGTCCACAGTTGTTGCTGAGTTTGACAAATCTGGATATGGGGCAGTGATCCAAACACCTGCATTGCACCCTGGTATGTTCTCAATTCTAACACCATGGACTTCTGGAATGGATATAAAAGATCGAATGCGCAAGTTCTCAAGAACAGCTCATGTGCTTGCACTGGCTAGGGATCAAGGATCAGGAACTGTGAATTCACCTACATGTATAAGTTATCAGTTGAAAGATGTGGACAAGGAGAATTTAAAAATGGGAATTGAGAAGGTACTGAGAATTCTTGCAGCTGCTGGAGCTGAAGAAATTGGCACTCATAACAACAAGGGAAAGAGCTTAAATGTTAAGAAGGTGAGCTATAATGAGCTTGAGAAATTTGTCAAAGAAGAAAGTTCAAGGCCTTTCACAGATCTTTCAACACCATTATGTTCTGCCCATCAAATGGGGAGCTGTAAGATGGGTAACAATCCAAAGGAATCAGTTGTGAACCAAATGGGGGAGACATGGGAAGTGGAGGACCTTTATTTGGCAGACACAAGTGTCTTTCCTTCAGCTTTGGGTGTGAATCCAATGGTCACTGTTCAGGCTATTGCTTACTGCACAGCACAATATATTCTTCAAGTTCTCAGAAGAAAAATAAAGTGAAGAAAAGAAAACTTTTGCTAGTTATGTAAAAGCAGAAGAGAATTCTAGTTACAATAATGGTAAGTGTGATGTTCAACAGTCAATAATAAAGCACCAGGCTAAACCTTAATTTGCAAGTTGTGTAAAGCTTATGAACACTTCATTTTCAATAATAGATGTTATATTACTAAATATTATACACATTTACAAATATTTCAATTGTCATAGATATTAAATTGGATAGAAGTCTAAATTATCAAATTCACAAGAATTTGAGTTATAATTTTTACTAAATATTGATGCTAAATAGATTAATTAATAAAAAATTAGATTTTTTTCAGCATTAAATATAAGAATTTAATAAAGTAGAAAAATTCAATAATGTAAGAAAAATGTTTGAAATTATGTAATGAAAACAGTCAAATATTGATTCACTGACTCTTTTATGTAATTCCTCTTGAATTTTCATTTAATATTGAAATTATAAAGTAATTCAGTATCCTGCAATTAGATTTGAACTATCATTATTTAGGTGAGAAATTCTAGATTGTTTAAGGAAAATTCTAATTCCTAGGAAATTTTTGTTAAACAACCTATATTATGGTTAGGCACCAACAATAACTTATAAGTGGTTTGTTCTATTATGTTGTACTGTTGATTGTTGTTTGGTTTAGTTATTGTATACTGAAGATGCTGTTACTTTTGTAGACAATGACTAGAACCAATGAGTAGATAGCTCGTGCCATGGAGATGATGGTTATGGCTATGCAGCAGCAAAATGCCTATTTTGCTCGGATGGACGCTGATAGAGCTGTGGCTGGTGCAGCAAGGCCCGTGGGGTCACAGGAGAGCCGAGATCTTGCAGAGTTCCAGAAGTGCCATCCTCCATAGTTCAAGGGAGATGCAGACCCAGAGGTAACTGACCACTGGATCTGTGAGCTGGAGAAGATCTTCACAATGCTGGGGTGTTCTCAAGAGAGGAGGTTGGCATATGCTGTGTACATGTTGGTAGGAGAGGCTGAGCATTGGTGAAGGGGTACTCACCATATGCTTACTGCTAGAGGAGTTGCTGTTGATTTGGAGTGCTTCAGAAGGCTGTTCTTGGAGAAGTACTTCCTTGAGAGCGTGAGGCACGCCAAGGAGGTTGAGTTCATGCGGTTGCACCAAGGTGGGATGACAGTTTCTGAGTATGCGATGAGATTCAAGCACCTGTCTCGTTTCTATTCGCAAGCTATATCTAAGGCCTGGAAATGCAGGAAGTTTGCTGACGGTCTGAAATATGAGCTGAAGAGAGTGGTGGTGCCTATGGCCATCACTGAGTTTCCGGCCTTAGTGGAGAAGGCGAAGGTTGTTGAGCGGTTGGAAGGTGGCAATTGTGTGGTGAAGACTGCTGAGAGACCAGTTGGATCCAAGAAAGGAGGAAATCAGAGGAAGCCATATGATAGGCCCCAACCACAGCAAGGGGGTCCTGTCATTAGGAAACCTGATGATGCTGCTAGAGGAGGGAGACAGGGTGGAGGTGCTACCCTTAGATGCTACAGGTGTGTTGGGCCCCATCTTGTTAGGGATTGTCCACACACGGAGAGCCGGTGTTTCAGGTGCCAGTAGATGGGCCATGAGTCTTTCAACTGTCCAACTAGAAACAGACCGGAGAGGGGTGCTCAGAAGCGTGATACTCAGAGAGGCGACGCTCAGAGGGGTGACAGACTCACTACTGTTGGGAGAGTGTTTGCTTTGACTAGGGCTGAGGCTTCTATTTCTTCTGACCTTGTGAAGGGGAAGGGTAAAGCTGCTGGTAAGGATGTGATGTTTTTGTTTAACTCTAGGGCTTCTCATTCGTTTATTTCCTATGCTTGTGCTGCTATGCTGGGTGTGCCAGTGTGTGATTTGGGGTTGAGACTGCTAGTGTCGACGCCCGCTTCTGCTTCGGTAGTTGCTTTTGAGCTGTGTGCTAGTTGTCCGATTGTTGTGAATGAGAAGAGGCACAAGGTAAACTTGATTTGTTTGCCTTTGGTGGACATTGACATAATCTTAGGGATGGATTGGTTGTCTGCCAATCACATCCTTATAGATTGTGCCAATAGGTGGTTGATCTTTCCTCAGGTGGAGGATGAGCTGTTGATTTCAGCTGGCCAAGCTGAATCATTGCTGAGAGATGGAGCAGAGTGTTGTCTTCTGCTTGCTGCTATGAGTGTGGAGACTGAATGGGTCATCGCGAATATTGATATGGTGAGAGATTTTGCTGAGGTGTTCCCTGATGAGGTGCCTGGGTTGCCTCTTGTTAGGGAGATGGAGTTCAGCATTGACTTGGTTCCAGGTGCGGGGCCAGTGTATATATATATATATATATATACTTGCTCTTTTTTGTATGGTGCTATGGTGTTGTGTAGTATGTAGTGACTAGTCGAGTCGTTACACTTTAGTGGTATCAGAGTAGGTTGAGTCTAGTGGGCAGTCTTTGGGGGTGGTTCCTTTAGGTTTTTGTTGTGCTGAACTCTGTGCTGTGTTGATTTCTTGTTGTTTGTTGTACTGTTGATTGTTGTTTGGTTTAGTTATTGTATACTGAAGATGCTGTTACTTTTGTAGACAATGACTAGAACCAATGAGTAGATAGCTCGTGCCATGGAGATGATGGTTATGGCTATGCAGCAGCAAAATGCCTATTTTGCTCGGATGGACGCTGATAGAGCTGTGGCTGGTGCAGCAAGGCCCGTGGGGTCACAGGAGAGCCGAGATCTTGCAGAGTTCCAGAAGTGCCATCCTCCATAGTTCAAGGGAGATGCAGACCCAGAGGTAACTGACCACTGGATCTGTGAGCTGGAGAAGATCTTCACAATGCTGGGGTGTTCTCACAAATCAACATTTGAGCGCGAAAATTCGTCAAGTGCTAACTGGGACCCTGAGTTCCATCAAAAGGTTCAACTTGGGGAATCCGATGATCCCTCGAGATGGTCTCGGCCTCTATGGCCTCCGAAAAAGGTCAAAAATCCCTGGGGGCTTCCATCATGACATCTTCCTCCACCGTCCTGGCGTTGGCCGTTATCATAGCTTGCATCTCGTCCGCCCGCCTCCTAATCTCCTCGTTTTCTCGTTGAATAGCATCCTCTCTCCCCCTGGATCGCGCAATCTCCTTCCTCAATCCGTTGATCAATGCCATCACCTCCTCCATGGTAGGGTGTTGTGAGTCGTTGTTGGATGTGTCGCATCTCGCCATGGTAAAGTGCGGCTTCTCCTGTGTTACTTGGGGCGTAGGAAAAGTTTCACCGTAGCCCCACGGTGGGCGCCAAAATGTTCCGGCCAAAGGGTGGACTAGGGTTTTTTCCTAGATCGTGCCTTAGAGCCAGAGCATTCAAAAGTGTAATCTGCCTTCTCAACTCTAGGGTTTTTTCTTTTATAGTTTCTTGTTTACGGGCTTTATGGGCCTCGAGAATGTAGGAATTTCCTTAACCGTTTTGATCTGGTTAATATTTGGTGAGGGACAGTGGGACCTTGCCCTTGCTATCGGGTAGTCCCTGTATGCGAGAGTTGTGTCGGCCCCCGACCGACCATACCCGTACTGAGGGTACAGTCGGGTATTGGCCGAGTTGGTTCTTGTAAGCGGAAGGAATCGGAAATATACCGACCAGGTTAAGTAGAGAAACCAAGTCGAATAATAACCGAACCACTCTTAGAGGGGTGATCGGCGAGAGCTACAGTCGGCCTGGCATATCGGTGAGAGCTACAGTCGGCCTGACATATCGGCGAGAGCTACAGTCGGCCTGACATACATAGTAGGCAGGTCGGAATCCGACATGGACCGTACAATTAGTAATAAATGTTAATAGTGTTTTACTTAGATCATAATTTTAAAAGGGTTTTCTAACCTCGATTAAACCTCGATAAAAAATTATGAAATCATACATAGGTTGATCAGGCAACAACAAGCATTAAGTATTAAAAATGATTAATTGAATTAAGATTTTATTGAATAAAAAGTACAAAGAATTTACATAGGTATAGTAGCTACCTCAATCTCCAATAATAGTAGAAACTTAACCACTTATAACTAAAGATTACAAAAGAAAAGAGGGATCTTTAATTGACTTGTGATTACAATAATCCTCTCACAAGAATTCTCTCTAATCTCTCTAAAATTTGTGCTTAGAAAAGTATGATCCAAAGACTTCCTAGAGACCATATTTTATAACATTTTTAATAGGTTTTTAGGTCGTGTATGCTAACTTAGGATGCCCATGTAGCTCGCTTTGAGCGAACTTGTTTGATTCTCCACAGGTGCTCTCTGACTACACTCACTCAAAGCTCTCCTTGTAGTCACTTTGAGTGAATTTCACCCACTTAAAATTAAGGATGAGAATAAGTTAGGCATTAAACAAGGGGAGTAGGTCAAATTTAGGCTTTTAAAAAAGTCTATTTATTTAAAAGATTGAAATTACTTATAAAAAAAATTTATTAGGCCTGATAGTCCAACCTATTTATCTATATAAAAAAACTAATATGCATATATTATTTGAATAAGATTACTCTCTTTGTGGCATTGTTATATTTCGAGTACCCACAAATCACCTCATGTACAATTAGTATTTTTTAGTTTGTAAATTGTTATAATAATTATTTTAGTTTCTTAAAAAATGAATCGATTATTTAGAACATATCAAAATAGATATAAGAAATATTTAAAATGTTTTTTATACGATAATCCCTTTTCATTACAGATTTATAGACTTACGACCTCTATGTGAGTATACGCTAATATACATAACTGTGCAAGAATTATTCATCTAACAGAAAATGATTCACTTTTCCTCCTCTTTATGGCATTGTATATATTTCAAAAATTAAATTTTAATAATATTATGTAAACTATATTTTATCACACAAATTAAAAAAATAGCTCTTAGTGATGTATTTAAAAATAAATTTGTTGGTTTTTTTTAAAATTAAGTTTATTGGTTTAGTTAACATTATTAATATAAAATAGGCTTTTAAATAGACTAATAGACTAGGTCAAACTTTAAAAAGATCATACTAGACCTATAAAAAGCGTATAATAGATAATAAGTCAAACTTAGGCTTTAACTTTGTAGAATAAGCTTAGTTTATATATTCAAAGTCTAACCTAACCTGACTTATTCTCACCCTACCCAGAGTGAGTAGCTAACTGCTCACTTTAAGCAAGATGTCATTTCCAGGA